GGGAGATATTACTATGCTGAGTTTAAAACATGTTATGCCCTTGATCAAATCCAATGCCATGGTGGCTCTATTAAAGTACATACAATAACGGAAGAGACCTTCAAGACACCAGCGAAGCATCCACAGCGCACTGCAGCACAGGCACTAGCCTTAAGATTTAAACTGGTTAGCTTGGCTCCTGGGAATTAGGGCAGAGCCTGGCTCAGGTGAATTACTGCTGCTTATGTGACTGCAAAGGTGACAGAAATCTTGTCGACGGTTAACTGCCCTGCTTTAAATGTGACTGCAAAGGTGACAGAAATCTTGTTGATGGTTAACTGCCCTGCTTTAATCAGGATAGGAACTTCCCTGCTGGCTTTCCTAGCCTGGGACCCATGAAAAAAAGTGTTGTTTGGGCTGAGAAAGGCTTTGCAGCATGCAAGACTTCTGGACAAGCTGCTGCTTTTGCCCTACTGTCCTTCCTTTTAAACCGGAGGAGCTCTTTGTCAATCACTGTGCTTGGCGGCTTCTCCAGCTGTGGCACAGAGACAAGCACCTTGTTGCCTAGATGCTGAGCCATTTTCCCAATATGTCCTTTTCTAAAGTTAATATAATCAAAGCACCCTGTAAGTATTGTACTGCTTAACCATTTCATATGGTGTTATTTACAGACTACTATGTGTAAAACAATCAAGGCAAAAGAGACATCTGTTCAGGCACACAGGACTGAAAGTTCACCTAATTCACTGCATTCTTGGTCTCAGGCCACAGCTTCACTGGTGAGAAATAATCAGGACCAGAGCTGCATGGGCAGTACCTTGACAACCTTAGACCATCAATTCATGTCTTCACCTCTACTCTTTCTTCAAGTAATTGTTAAGGCCTAAAGTTCTTTACTGGGTTATCTGGTGTCTGTATTCATCAGTCTTATGCAGAGAATATGTTATAAAGCTTGATGTATGTGCTAAAGACAACACCTTTAGTTAACAAAGAAAAGTAGTGACAGACAGATCTGCACAGGGAACTCAGATACTTAAAGGAATCCCACAGAAGAATTATACTGCTGTTTATTCTTCCCACATACGAAAAGCCTGGAAAAAACCGTTGTGAAAACTGAGAAACTTCAGCTAAACTCAACGTACATCCTTACCTATAAAACACAAAAAATTCCATCTTTTATGTGTTGATAGGATATCCATGAAGACATCTGAATATTTGGGCTAGATGCAAGGATATGAGGAAGTTAGACTTCGGGAGTTACATTGGATAGATTTTGCTATAAACCTTAAGTTCCCTTGACTCTGTCACTCCTCAGTGACTCTGAGGAGTTGTCATCAAAGTTTTACAGCAAGGCACTGAGCTCAATCCTGTCTAAGCATGCCTGCATTTTCTTAGCCAGATCTATCTGTCTGACAAGAGCTGTGGGGCTACAGCTATATAATTCAAGGGTGAAAGGCCATCAGTGAGAGTAATGTCCTCACCATCAGTTTATGAACTCCACAAAAGGACCCTGCTGGTTGTGGAACAGTTGGATTAAACCAGAGCTCTCTGCACTGAGACCTGTGCTGCAGTCTGTGTAGATGGATCATAGACCAGGCAAAAGAGACATTTCTTTCTGATAGCTGGCTTTGGTTCTAAAACCAGCATCCTACACTTTTATTCACTTCTTGACAAAAGACAACAAGGGAAGGAGGAACTCTTGGGGGTCAAATCACAGAAGATCTGTAATGTCTTTTTTGTGAAAAGTTTCAGGGAACCATTTTGCCTCACTTGATTCCCCAGGCGAAATTAAGACTGTCCTTTTAGATACCATATTCACTGCCAGAGGAATGTCACACTGTCCTTTCAAGCACAGATCACCTGCTCTTCTTCACTAGTTTTCTTTTTCATGGAAGTGGAATTTGCATCATATCCGAGCAGTCAGCATGAAGTCTAAATTCTGAAAAAGCTGTATAAAAAAAACAGAGAGGAAGTTAAAGGAGATGAATAAATACACAGTGGACATGAAATGGGTAACCTTTTAATTGGCAAAATCAATATAACACCAGTCAGTCTCATCTCCCTGTCAGGCAAGAGAGCATCATGTTTTCATTACCCCAACTGCAATCTGCTTTGATGTTCTCTCCTGCGTATGTGTGGAACAAAACATTTTTCCTCCCATTTTAACGGGTTGATTATTCTGATTTTAGTCTTTTCTCATTGACACTTCCTTCATAAAGAAGGTGACGCTCACTTAATAAATGGTGATCATGCCTCCCAGGAGAGGCGCTGTGCCTTACAAGTTAGTCATCATGAAGCGGACGAGGTCAGGAGGAGTAAGCCCTGGCAAGTAGAGGCAAGGCACTCCAGCAGCACAGGCTTTCCTCCTGGAGCACATCAGGAACAGGAGGATCTGGAATGAGCAGTTTGCTTGCGGTTGGATATTGTGTTCTCAGTGTAACTGCATGGAGCGCAGCAGCTGGCTTGGGCCCCCTTAGGCACATGATAGAGCGTGCTAGGGAAGAAGGGAGTCCGAACAGAAGAACTTCAGGGTGAGGGGGAGGCTAACAGAAGAGGGGGAAGTTTTATCCGAAGAAAGAGATAGTCAGCTCCTTAGAATAGCAGTGTTTACTCTGATGCAAAATACAAAATCTTGCAAACAAAATGAAATAAGCACTAAACAGATGGTATGAGGGGGTTTTTCTCATTCAAAAGTGAGATAATGCACCAGAGCTAGATACAAAGAAGAAAGTGTTGCTGAAGTGGACTTAGCACAAGCTGGTAATCATGACTTTTTTTTTTTTCAGAAAAGCTTTTTGCGGTATTTGTTAAGATATAGCATCAGCAAAATACAGCATGGGAGCACTTGACTTATGTTAATGTCTACAAGCAGGGACTTGTTTTGAGCTGCAAGGAGACAAAACACATTTCTGTGTGAAGTGTTTGTAAATCTTGATATGTTAAAATGTGACTTTAAAAATCTTTTACTTCCAATGGTTACATACATTTACTTATCTTTATAAATCTTCAAAAAGAAAGTCATATCACAGCTCATTCTGATCAAAATTGGAATGCTTCTAAACCTTCACTTTTATCTTTTCATTGATCAATATAATATAGAGGCTTCATTCTTCAGCAAGAACTTTTTTCTCCCCTAGGTGAAAGCTCTAAATCCAAACAGCTCCAGATCCTACCAAGCTTTAGAGAGTTATGAATCTTTTAGATTGGTCTTTTCTTGTGGGCCGTTTCCCAGAGAGGATGAGCCCAGAGATCCAGTGTTGGAGTCCAGCATTGGAACTGACCTTCACAGTTTGGATCCATCTCAAATTCTTTTTTTTTTTCCTCCAATAATATTTATTGCTCAACAGAAAAGTGCCTATGTATATTTTTTTCCCTCTTGACTGTAGATTTACAAGACTATCTAAATTGTACCGGTTTCTGCAAGCTTTCAAAGTTGGCCACTAATTATAAAAGTCAACAGGTAATTATTTACTCCCTGAAAATGAGGAGGACTGCAGTTCAATCAGGAAAAGCAAACTATTTAGGCAGGTACCTGAGATTGTATGCAAGACAAGTGATCTCCCTTGGCATTTGCGATAAGAACAGGCAGCACAACTATGCCATCCTCTCACCCGTATCGTCTCCTTCTGCACTGCAATCACAGCACCCCGAATTCAGTCCTTTGTTTCCTTTTACCCTCTAAGGGATGAAACCCTGAGATAAGGCTGCTTTGTGCAGATAATCTCACAATTTCTCTCTGGTTTGCACTCAGATGATATATGTTATAATTTGTGAATGATGTCTACTGGTTTGACCTGCAATTAAACAATTGTTTGGTCCTCTTACCTGGCATTCAGCTCTCTACCCTACCTGCTTTGAGGGGAATCTGTGATGTTCCCTGTGAAAGTGCAGAGAAAGTAAAGCAAACAAACAAACAAACAACAACAAACAAACACTGTAGTTCCTGAGATACAGCCTTAACCCTCAGGTTCTCACTCAACCAAACAGCCTAGCGTTTCGAAGGGAGCTAACCCACATGAGGAGTTGGAAGGTTCGACTCACCATGATCCTGTTGCTGTTTGTTCCCCACCCACACCAACTGTGTTAAGTCCCAGCATTTCCTCCTTTTTTGTAAATAACGGTCACTTGGGAAGAGTTGTATTTGGTCTGCCCTAACTGTACAGAAGGAATCTCTACGGCAAAAGAAGCTCAGGGGACCCGTGAGTGCTCTCTGTAGCCTTAGTCATGCATATGAAAACAAGAGGTGGCCAAACTGAATGAGCAGCCAGAAGACCTAAGTGTACTTTGCCTCCTACCTGAAAGAGGCCCTGGGCCTCCTTCTTTTCTGTAGTGGCTGATATATTTCAAAGTGTGAATGGTGGCCAGAGAATGAAAAGGAAAGGGGGAATCATTAACAGCTCCTCCTGCTACCTTGAGTGCCAAAAGCTAGGGCTGTTGTTTTTCCTCCAACAATTTGGAAATATTTCCTATAAACTGTAATCAGGCTTAATTAAAGCTCTTCTTGTGACTTGTTTTCTTTGCCTCCCCCCTACAAGGTACAGTGAATGAACCTAGATACAAACCAAAAGAGTCCTCAAAACACAGCCAACTTTCCTTGAACCCTTCCCATGCACTGGGCTTTCTACAACAACTGTGGGGTGGGCAACCAGGAGGATGAAAATTGCTGTAACTGCTGCTGTTCTTTCCTCGTCAATATTCCTCCCTGCTTCCTTTTGGGAGGGCAAAACCCGCCTGGATGCGACTGGGTGCTCTGTGCTCTGGGTATCCCTGCTGGAGCAGGGGGGTTGGACTAGATGATCTCTAGAGGTTCCTTCCAACCTTAACCATTCTGTGATGCTGTGTGATGCTGTGACATGAAGAACTGGGGGTGGAGGGAGAGATGATTAATGAAGCAAAGCAAAGCAGCCAATATTTCTGTAGGCTTGTTATATTGTCCATGTGTGCATAATGTAAATGCAAATAAACCCATCTTTATTTTATTCATAGTTCTAATGGAAAGTCTGTGTCATGGTCTGAACCAGGTGGAAGCGAAGTTCCCAAGGGACAACACATGTGGCACAGACTCTCAGTGCATGTGAAGAGCCAGGAGGCAGGGTGCAATCAGACTGCAGTGATCAAACCCCTCACTAAAAGCTTCCATGGCCAAGGCAAGAGCCTGACTTTTTCCGACATCAGCAGTAAGACTCTGTACAACGTGGTGGAGGAACAGGAGAGCGAACCCGTCCGCTTCGCACAGCCCGGCAGCCCCTCCATGGTGGTGCACAGGCGGGTGGCCATGACGCCGCCCCTGCCGGCCACAGCGGAGGAGACCCGCCTCTTCCTGCCCGAGCAGTCCCCCAAGAACCTGCCTCTGCAGCCGCGCTCCCTCATGGAGCAGCTGCAAGGAGTGGTCAACAAGTTTGCCCCCAGCATCCCTGACTTCAATGGTGCACTCCCCTCACCCGGCTCGGGCAACAGTGTGCGGCCCGCACACCAGGGGCAGTCCCCACCGCCTCCTGTCCAGGAGGCCGTCACCTTCAGCCAGGAACCTGCATCCCCCCTGCCCGAGGACGTGCAGAGCGAGAAGCTGAAGCTCATCCAGGGCTACGTCTACGAGAAGAACCCAGAGGATGAGGAGGACGAGGAGGATGAGCCGGCAACCAGCAAACTGACTTTGGAGGACTCTCCGGCACTGACGCCCCCTTCCCCTTTTCGGGATTCAGTGGCTTCGGGCAGCTCCGTGCCCAGCTCCCCTGTGTCAGAATCGGTGCTTTGCACCCCCCCAGACATGACCTATGCCTCTGTCATCCTGAGGGATTACAAGCAAAGCTCATCCACCCTGTAGAGAGGGATGCTGCCAAGATGGGACAAGGAGGACTACAGCATCTGCCCTTTGGGAGATCCTGGGGGAAAAAGTCTCCCGAGGGTGCGGGAGAGGGGGAAAGCAGAAAATGAAATGACAAAAACTTTATCCTGAATTCAAAAAAAAAAAATCCATTCTGAGGGCTCAACATTCTCTAGTTGTTAAAAATATTTTACTTTGAGAAGATGATAGGAAAATGTAACAAAGCACAAACCCAATAGACAATTTCTATAGCAAAAAAATGAATAAACACACAGGAAAAGAAAGTCACAGTCACATCCTCTCTTGGCAATGTTTGAAAAGGACTCTGGGAAGCGTGACCTCGGAGGAGTCGTTAGCACATCTCGTGACTGTAATCTGTCTGCTACAGAAGCAACAAATCCAGGCACCAGGAAGGTGACTGTGGCAAGGAGAAATGGAGCTATTTGTATATGAGACACATATGCATAAATGATTTTTTTTCTCGTTTCTATAGCTGGTATAATAATGTGTAATATTTTGGGGGATGAGGAGTACAGGAAATCATATGGCTCAGTGATTTTTGTCTAAATGATTTGTTCCTCGTAATAGATTTCTTTTGGTGGTGGTGGTGGTGGAGAGGTGTCTTCTTGAATGATGATTGTGAAGAAAGGCAGGACTATTATCAAGTTGAGACTTGAGAAGGTATTGGGGAAACTCCTTTTGGTGGTATTTTTGATGTGATAAGGACTTAAAAGAACATCCTTTTGTATAAGATTGTAAACCATGTGGCTAAACTGTTACACAACGTTCACTGTAGCAGAACAATATTTATTGACTAACTTTTCATAATATACTTACCATGTGATTACATCTTTCCTTTATGTTACTTTTGAATCAAATACATTGGGAAGCAGCTGTATACTTAGAGCAACCACTACTACACTGAAGCAAAGGCGATTCCATACTGGGGATTACAGAGCCAGTCCAGAAGCAAGAGAGTGAGCAAACATTTGTGTCTCTGTATGCGTGTGTACAGTATGTGTGAACTGTAGTGTCTAATAACTACTAACTACCACTGGAAGATTGTCTTATGAATATACTATGAATATTTTTATGTTTCAATCATGTTTTATATCACATTGTTACAAATATTCAATAGATCTTTGGAGATTTGTATGCTGTGCTACCACATTTTTTCATATAAAGCTCAGACAATTGTTACCCTTATAATGGGGTGCTTTAGTTTGCAGATATTTTATGAAGTAGACATATGGTACTAATAACTAGTGCATTGAGAACTTGTTATTTTAAGTGTTTGCAGCCAAGTGTGGTTAAGAAACAAAAGAAAGAAAACAAAAAAGAGGAAGTCTGTTTTAGAAATCTTGTGCCAGTATAAACCTATACAGGTAGGGCAGGGAAATGTATTGAAACTATTGAGTTGCTTCTGATAATTAAAAATAAAATTATGTCCAGGCAGAAATTTTCATCAGTGCTTAATGTGTACATAAATATCCAGGTTTTGTTCTAAACTGTTCTTTTAATCTGTTTATTACGTTTAGTTGTATGTTCTTTTTACACACTTCCACTTCTTCAAATAAATATACAATCTTGTTATCTTAAAAGTCACTTGTAGGTAGTTGTAGCGCTGTCATTCATTCCTCCTCCTCTGACCTTCATATGTTTCCTGGATATGGACCTACTCCAACGCACCTTGGTGGCATGTTCAAAGTCCAGATCTAATTGCTGTGGTTTGAACTTAATTATATTTAATATTATCTTACATATGTATATGACATATATTCAGATAGCATTTTAGCTCCTGTGAACTTTGATAGTGGTGCTGGATTTAGCTGAGGGTCTGTCCCACGTTTTTACTTTATTTTGCACTATTTCCAAAGGAATCTTTTCATGTTAAAATAGTTGCAAAAAATGATTTTTAATTATGCTCATTGTGTAAATTCTGTCAGAGTTTTTCTGAGTTCATTATATTTCTACTCTTCTTTCTTTCCATTTGTATTTTAAGAAGTTCTGTTGCCAGTCATCGTGTTTTCTCCTAAGATCCAAATTTCGTTACTTTAGTATATAGCAGAGGTGTTGGAAGATTTGGCTGCTGTTCCAAATCAGATGTAATCTCTATTCCTGATGCTCTTTTCATGGTGTTTGTTACTTTCAATGCGACTAGTAGCCAATTGTTATCATCATCCCAATGTGGAAAGCATGAATTGACTTTGCCCAAAGTTACATTTTTGTTTTTGTCAGCAGATTGATGCTCTATAATGAACTAAAAACACCTGGGGGGTTGGTTGATTTTTGTCTGCTTGGTGCTTTGGGGATTTTGTTGTTATTAGTTTCTTTTTTTAATGCTAATTATGTATTGAAGCGATGATAAAATACGATGTTTTCTTTGCTGATCACCACATTAGCAATGAATTTTATCTTCTTATAATCTTAGTATAAGATGCTTCGTGCTGTTTCTGAAAAGCACAGGGCTGGTACTATGAAGTACAGTCTTTGAAGAAATGAGGTAGATAAGAAAAAGAAACACAATAGGCTAATATAGTCAGGGAGATGGCAATATGGCTGGGTACTGTAGTTTTCATAGCTGTCTGTTTTGAACATATTAAGCACTGACTTTATTACTGCAATGTAATTATATCATGAGTAGTTTTCTTGAGATTTAGTATATTAACTCTTAGTTTGTAATTGTTAAAACTGAAAACATGCACATACATAAATATATATATAAAGAGCAAGAACTCACCTCGTGTATGTAGTTGTATGATCTATGAAGCTTCCTGTAAAAGTACCTTCTTTGGGTCTGTCAAATGCTTGATGAAAACTGCCTTTTTGTCAAAATGATCTTGAAAATGCTGTAAAATAAATATTTTCTATTTATTATTTAAAAATAGAATGCCAAGATTATTAATTTTTGCTTCCTAAGTTGAAAAACACCCATGTCTAGTAGTATTTGTTCCAGAGCTTTTCAGCATCGTGTTCAAAATGCTCTAATGGAGGTAGGTATTGGCTAGCCTTGGCATGTACGTGAGGCGATGGAGAGATTTTTGTTTAGAAAACAGAAAATGGCTTTCTGCGTTGCTGGTAAAGATCAGGAGTACCATGGGTAGGTGTCAAGATTGGCAAGTTGTAGAAAAAATTTACTGGGAAATGTTGGGAAATTTTGCTTTCCAAGGAACTGGGGAAATCCCAGCCCTTCACTGGAACTACTCCATGAATTTTTGACTCTGTGGGATGCCAACTTCTCCCATTCTAGAAACTCATTCATGCTTTTTTAAGGCTATTAGTTACAGGCACTGATCCATCCCTGGCATTTTGTGCTTCAACTGCCTCTGCTTATAGCAAAGTACTGGGACTCCTGACTCCTGTTCAGCTCTGTGATTCCCTCACATGGTGGCTTTTTAGGGGCCACTGAATTGCCATGTGCCTCAGGAACGTGGGATGTGTTAAGAGAAAATGTCTTCTGGTGCCCTAGTTCAAACCCAAGTAACTCTAAACATAAAAAACCTAGCTCTCCTCTTTCTGCTTGGGAATAGGATTGTTTCTAGCGGCTCCGTTTTGCATCTGACCTTGTAAGAGCATTCATGTGAGGGGTTATGCCACTTGTAGCTACTGCATGGCAGGAATACTTCCACGGAGTGCTGTTACATTTTGCGGTAAGCGCTAACAAGTTTCGTCCCTTCGCATATGGAAGAGTTTCTGTCTGCTTGTTTTGGAGGCAGGCTGAATAAAATCTAAACGAGCCATTTCTTAGTGAAGGTTGTGCTGACCATATGGCCTTGATCACTAAAACACTCTCTGGGTAACACAGCAGAGTTACTCCTCCCTAGAGCATGTGGTCCAAGATTGCAGCCACCATTAATCTTGCAATTACTTTTTGCAGGACCCACACCACAGCGTCTGATCCTGTCCCTGCTACCTCGGTTGTGCTGGTTTATGCCTAATCTTGCTTTCATCCTACCTATGCTGGAAAGTTTACAACCTAATTCAATATCGACATCGTTCCCGCAGGCCAGAATACTTTTACTATACAAACAGATCATTATCTGTAAGAACAACTGTATAAACTCCCATCAAAATGAATAGCACTATATATCGACCCTGCTGCATTAAACATTCAAAATATAAGGTGATTTTTATGGACAGGATTTTTTATTTCAGTTTCTATTTTCTTTAAATATTTTTTTTTTCAAAATTAAGTCATGGACCTGGTCCTTTTTCACTTACCCAAAAACATGTTATACTAATTCTGTGAAGTAGACCTTCTGTGAAGTCCAGTACAATGGACATG